TGCTCCCCTCTGCTCCCCCCAGGGTGCTGCAGCATCTCCCCATGCTGGTCACTTGCTGCCACCTGGTGCCACCTCACGACAAGTGCTGGGGACCTGGGGTGTTGAAAGTAGGGATGCCATGGGTGTTGTGGATGGGGTCCACATGGGTACAGCACACATGTGGTCCCCATCCTTGACAGCCATGGCCCCAAACAGCCCCATTTGTCCTCCAAAGGACAACCTTCACCTGGTTCTCCAAACAGGCCAGTGACCTCTCTCCTCTCTACAGGGTGAAAGCCAGGACTCCAAACATTTCCCAATCTCCCGGACACCACTGAGGGTTATTTCCTCTAAGGCAGGTGGCTGTTCCAGGCACCGGATCTGGAGGTGGTCCTCATGGTGTCCCAGAACAGATTGGGAACAGGGATGCAAAAGCACCTAGAAATCAGCAGGGTGGTAGGTAACAAGAATTAGTCACACTACCCCAAATCAATTTTCTTTTGCAATAGGGTAACAGGCCCTCACGGCAAAGAGAGAGCAGTAGGGACTGTATTTCTTTAGTAAGGTTTTTGCCGTGCAAGACCGTGTCACTCTCACTGGGAAAATAAGGAAACTCAAGATTAAGTCAACCTGCAAGGTGGCTGCAAAACACGCAGCAAAATTATTCTCACTTGTTACCGGTGGTTCCTTATGGAGGTGGAAGGAGACACACTGTTTACCACAGCTCCATCAGTAGCTCACTAATTGAGCTGGAGGACAGGGTGCTTAATGACTACACAGCTGAGACTGCCCCGAGGGGGTGCGCTGGAGAACTGGGGTAGGATACAGCTGACCTTGGGAAATAGACAAAAAAAAAAAAAACTCACCTGAAAACTGCTGATGCTGGGCACTTCCCAGCGGTCTGGATGTGTCAACCGGGCTGGTGACACTTCCCCACCCCACCACAGTCCATCTCAGAGGCCCCAAAAGCAGAAGAGTCCGTGGAGAGCCCCGTAGTGGCAGCTGTCCCCAAGGAGACCCTCCAGGTCCTGCCGGAGCTCCTCTCGGCTCGCCCCACACCCTTCCTTCCCATGGGATGTCCCTGTGCAAAGGACACGTGTCTGTCTGTCCCCCCATAGAGCAGAGACTGGTGCTGCCCGACCCGTGTCCTTGTGGAAGCCCAGGTCTTTCCTTGGGAATTAACTCATTTAAAGGAAGAAGAGAAATACAAAACCAAACCCACCCTCAGCTCTGACCTTTACAAAAACAAAAAAAAAAAAAAAAAGGAGGTTAAGAAGAAAGGGGAGTGTAATTCCAGGAAGAGGAACGCAGGATTCTGCTCTCAGGTATGAATAATCAGTGTACAGAGGCAGGCTGGAGAGCAAGATTGTGGGAAAGGGTGACTCACAGGCTGAGCAACGTCATTCGGCAGGAGAGAGGGGGAGTCGGGGGGGAGCTGTTGTTGTTATCCTTACTATTTATTTATTTTAAAAACTAGCTGACTGGGATGTTTGCTCTTAACACACTCATGAAGCAAGACACCCGCGGTTTGAAGCCAGCCAAGTCTGAGCCCAGAGTTTGTGCCCAGCTGCCTGTGTCACCCCTCCAGGTACAGGAGGAGCAGCTGGCAGAGCCTGCAGGGTTTTATTCTGGACACAGCAAAGTCTGTGAACACACAAGAGGGTGCTGCAGGGAGTTAAGATCATGCTCCCAGCATCAAACGGGGACAGGAAAAGTAATAAGCTTAAATTTCAGGAGAGATTCAGGCTGCTTATTAGGACATCCCGTGAGCCCAGCAGCTCCTAGGGAACTGTGGTGGGATGTCCAAGACCAGTGGGGTCATTTGGGGCTGATGCAGGAGCTCATATAGGGATGGCCTGGATGATCTCTCAAGGTTTCTCCTAGCCCTACATTACTACTGTCCCATGAACAGTAGTCCATGCCCCAACCACTGGCTGTGGAGCAGCACAGGCTGCTCCTTCAGGGCACAGGCACAGCCTCTGACCTGGTGACCGAGCTCTCCTGGGCTTCCCCAGCACTTGGGTGGCAAAGGCAGAGGCCAAGGCAAACCTGCGTGAAGCCTCTCCTGCAGCTCTACTTGCTGTGCCTTGCATGGACTTTGTGTTATCCACCAAACCTGAGGAGAAGAACAAATCCTCCTGCTGTTACCAGAAACCTGCCAGCTCACCCAGTGTGCCTGCCCAGCTTTTCCTGGAATGCCAGGAAAGAAAGAAAATCAACAGAGCAGCACACCAGGGATGTGCACGGGTCCTGCTCTCCAGAGCGAAACGGAGGTTTCTGGAAAATAGTGAGGTTCAGAAAGCAGCATGATGTCACCATCTCTGCTGGGCACCTGGCTTCAGGTGACAGCCAGAGCCCTTGTCAGAGCACCCTGTTCACAGCTATTTGCTGGGCATTTAAATAAAAAATAAAATATAAAAAAAAAAAAAAAAAAAAAAGAAAGGACCCCTTTTGAGAGGGGGAGAAAC